TAAATCGGAATTTTTTCCATAAATTCTTACAACAACACCTTGATTTTCAGATGAATGTACAGCAAAAAGTGTATTTGAAAGTCCATTAGTAAGTGTTTTTACTGTTAATAATGAATTAGATTCGATCAAATTTAGTTTCAATGAATTCGATACAAAATTTAATACAATTGATTCAATATCTGTTTGATTTGGATCAAAATCAAAATTTTCATGTCGAGGAAACGAAAGCATGTTGAAATGTAATTTATATCTATCTTTTGCTTCTATTCAGCTTATCAAGGTAACTGAGTGTGCATACATATCTAACTCGTCGGTCATAAACGCTTTTTTATTCTTTGTTCTTTCCTATGCAGAAAGAAAAAAGTATAGATAAAAAAAAGGTCACGGGATCATACAGTTATAAAAAGAGATAGTATTGATTATGTAAACAAGTCTTTCTTGTTCGTTAAGTACATGGCATTTTAGACGATTCATCAGAGACGACCATCAAGCAAACAAAAACAATTATTGAAAATTGTTACATTAACAAATAAAGATCGCAATTGTGAGAAGAAACAAGGGTTTAGAGGTTGATCATTCAATATGAATTGTGTATATTTATTATTACTCAATTGATTCACATAAAAAAAAGTTAACTTTTTGCACAAGGAAAAAAAGACGTACATCTCCACCTGTGAGTGATATGTTCGACGATTCTAATTTTCTGTTTTCGTAATTGAATAGAGTTAATGAGACAAGTAGAGTGTTTCTTGAATGTGTTGTTGAATCTTTTGAAAAATTATTGCCTTTTCGATGCGTGAAAAAGGATGAAATGAGCAGTCGATGAAGTTGCGTCATTTATTCAGATGATCGTGCTGATGCAGATGATATTCATTCGTGATTTTAGTCTTTACATTTGATCAAACGAATAAAACAATTGGTTGACAGTCAATTTATCAATACTATTCATTCATTCTGCATTTTGAATCATTCTTCACCTCTTCTACCATCTGGTGATAGGACGTATATATAAAAATTTATCAATGTTTTTTCACGTTTTGTACATATACGAGCACGTGTACGTACACGTGACCATTTTTTTTTCGATACCTATTTTTTCTTCATAATATTATATTAAATATTAAATATTGTTAATTAACGAATTTGATCATGTATGAACAAGTGCAGATGGATCCAAAAGAAGCAATAGTAAATCTTAATGGATTAGCCAGTAGGACTCAACAAATTCAAGATCATCCATGTAATGGTGGAAACAATGGAATCGATATGACATCTAATACAATGAGCGGACAAGTCATGGAACATCAAACAAATATGGATATAGATGGAAGAAATATTATTTCAAGTGATATCAGAACCGAAACACCGAACAAACAAGGAAGAAATTTAATTGATGGAGATATTAATAACATGCAAAGTTCAAAAAATCGCGTACTCGCGGTGTTTTTGGAATGAAGGATTAAAACAATTATGGATCATTAATAATTCATAATCGAGCCTATCATCATCGAAATGAAAGAAACGAAATAAGGAACAAGGATCAACTGAAATCGAACGAAGCAGCTGCTAAATTAGTTATGTTATTCTTTAAAACAATTGAAAAAGATTTTAGACAACAAAACCCGAATCATAAAAGACCTATTGGATTTGATCATTGGTGGCAAGATACTGACGGTGCACGTTTATTAGGTGTTATCAAAGATGTTGATTTATTCGTCTATTTATGTAATGCAAAGAGATACCCAACTAATTTAGACAATACTCACATTTTACCTAATCCACCCAAACGATTACCACCTCAATACACTGTTGAAGTTAAATTCGTGAAGAACGATATTGAAATTGATGAATTTCGTAATGAAATCAAAAAACGTTATAAATCTACTTTTACCGTAGAAAATATGTTAGGTGCAATGCGTTATAACAGTCGTCACATAAGAGTTGATTCTTGTGATAGAAAAGATTATGAATCAATACTTAATAGTGGATTTATTGGCATACAAGGTCAATTATTCTAGGTAGATGAATATTTACCTGCACCAAAAATACTTATATGCCCGAAATGTAACGAACCTGGCTACACAAAGAAACAATGTCAATTATCCTTTGAAAAGTGTAGACGATGTGGTGGTGATAGACAAGATGGTATTAATCATAAAACATGCCAGATTAAGTGTCAACATTGTGGAAATAATGAACATTGATCAAATGATTATCGAGGGTGGGTGTGGGTGTGGATGAGAAGGGAAAGAAGATCCACACCCACACTCGTACACTAATCTGTTGTTTCTAGTCACAATCGATGCGGCAATGCGATTCATTAGAGTCTACATCTCTACAAAATCTATCCAATACCAATCTTCTGATTTCTGTACCGACAGACCAAAGAAAGCATTCTCATAACGATTGTTATTTTTGTATTGAGTATTCGATGATAAAGTTTCTTCATGTTTCGACGAATCTATCAAAGAACAAATGCATCATTTAATTTCAATGCTTATATATAACAAAAAAAACATTGAGTATCGACTTCGAAAGGATACTTGTGTAAATATAAAATCACTAGTTATATTAAACAAGAACCATCGCAATTCTTTCTACAGAACTAGAAACGTTTTCATTTGAAGTTTTCTCTTCTTTTCAGTCCTTTACTAATGTGTTATATACGCGAAGTATTTTATCGATGTTTCATAGGAAGAGAATCTCGATATCCTAGAAGTTTTTGAACGTAAAAATCTATGTCGATGTAATAAACAGCCTAAACACTCAAACTTCTGATGTCTTGTTGAAAAGACATGCCTTGAAAATTAGTTGTCTTTCATACATATCGATGGAGAAAAGCTTTACATAGAAAAATTGAAACATCGAAAAGACATTTTCTGACATTGATAATAATCGAAATTTATTTCTCATTATAGACCAAAATGTGCAATATCACACATGTCGGAAAATTTGAATCATATGAAACAATATTTTCCAAACATAAAATGAACGCATATTCCTAGAAATTATGATGTCACCGAACAACTTTTATTAATCAGAAATCCACTACGAAGCTTTATAAGGATACTCGAACAAAAATGTTTTTCTCGTTTGAAGAAGAAACAAACATCGCTATTTGTAGATAAAGTGATGGAAAAAAAGTTTAGAAACAACGATTTTTTTGGTTTTTTTTCATAATTTTAAGCACGTAGCCCCAATCCAAATAGTGTTTTTAATAGCCAATGGAATTTTCTATCTAATACACTTTATAGCAAGATTTCACAGATGAACAATGATGGCAAGACTCCTAAAAAGCCGAACACGGTATTTTTCAGATTCAGAAGACTTTGCCAAAGCTATTTTTGAACGATGCCATCTTAAAGAGCATAAAATTCTGAGCAAAATGCGGGGTCGCCGAGTTTTCTATGATCTTCTCGTAAAAAGTTACAAGCATCGCAAAAATCATGAAAAGACGAAATTTTTTTAAAAATCGATTGAAGACGCTTTTTTATTATTTTTGTAATGCTTGTAACTTTTTACGAGAAGATCGCAGAAAACTCGGCGACCCCTCATTTTGCTCAGAATTTTGTGCTCTTTAAGATGGCACCGTTCAAAAACAGCATTGGCAAAATCTTCTAGCACCTGAAAAATACCATGTTCGGCTTTTTAGGAATCTTGCGATCATTGTTCATCTGTGAAATCTTGCTATAAAGTGTATTGGATAGAAAATTCCATTGGCTATTAAAATCATTATTTAAATTGGAGCTACGTGCTTAACATTATGAAAAAAAACCAAAAAAAGCTATTAGCGCAACCCCTTATGGGACTAAAAATGTAAAACACGATGGATCTATTGTTACTAATTAAATGAACATCATTTTGTTCCATTTCTTCAAAATAGATTTGTAGCTTACCGTTTATTTGATGCTTCAAAACTACAGTTTCTCTGTCACGGTCTGTGGGGGAGGGGGCAAGGGAAGTGGTTTCACAATTTCTACCCTATACACTTCAACACTCCTTTCAGATCGTGTTTCACAAAATGTAGATCATTCGACGCTCTATCCAATTGCATATGATACAATTCTTTTCATACTATGAAATCTAAAAAATCGATGACTGTTTTGAAAATCATCTAAAACAGTATTTTTCTTATTTTTGCATCAATTTCATACAGGGTGGGTGTGGGTGTGGGTGTGTCTAAAGCTTATTGAATCGTCCGTAAACCCACATACCCACACCCTGCCGTCACCTACACCCACACCCCACCCTCACCTTCATCCACTCACACCCCATTTCAGCTTTGTTGGTAGCTGTTTGGACATGCTTTTTAGAGAATTTTCTTTTCGATTACAGACGAAGAAGCATAATCAAATGTATTTTACATCTGGAGTAATACATTCTCATACAGGTAATTGAAAAAAAAGAAAGAAATACAATGCATCATATGAAACCCATGACTTCTTCTTTGTTTGTTTTTCATATTCTCGCTTCTCATCATACGCCATAGAATGAAATGTTTCAACCAAATTCAAACGAAACCCTACCTATTCATATGAAAATTTACGATTCAAACTGATAGAAAAAATATAATAAGCTCGAGGGAGAAGAGTTAGAAATGCTGCTATAATTTTATGAGTGCATTGGAGCTTCACTGTATTGGACATTTTCATTAAAGAAAAACGAAGACAAGGAAGCTATTTCATTTGATAATCTGTTTTTCAATCAGAAGAATGGCACCGATAAACTTCGAAAATTCTCCATCTAACCCTGATGCACCTTTGATTGAAATCAATATCTTGACTAGATTAGATGAACAAAGTTCTGCCTGCCACTATATTTCACTAATTAGTCATCTAAATTTTAATGATATAGGAGAGATCTCACACCATTCGCTTGAGTGTCTTTTCAATTGCAGCAAGGTAATGTCAAGAGATAAAATGATACAAGTGTCAAGTCAAGAAAAGTAACATCTCTTTGAGATATTTGTTACAGAGTTTTCTCTATGGACCACAACACTATTGTCTTCATAAAACCTTGCACATCTCGCTCTCTAAAATTTTCAGTCGATACTAATACTTGTTCATCAAAATTTATTCTAAACGGAATTCTATCGTTTGATCCAAAGCTCTACCATTCATGTTCATTAATAAATGACAAAGATAACACAAACTGTAGCAGAACATGAATAGACCTAAATGTCTGAAAGAGTATTATATCGCCGAGTTATGACATGTTAGATAAATCTGGTAGAAAACTATCTGTAGCTTTGGAAAAGCTAGATTATTTCATTCATACTTATGAGTCAAAACTCCAGACAATTTTCATCTTTGAAGAAAAAATTCGATTAGTATTGCTAGGTAGCAGTCAAATGTTTGCTCATCGTCTTCTACCTCGCTTTTATCTGTGTATACCATCATGTATGGATAGTTTTCTCTCACTTGCTTCTCTCTGCTTCGTTCGTATCTTGTTATTGTTTGTCAGTTATCTGTTTTTCAAGTCAAGAATAAACACATAATATAGTCCGCATCTTCGTCACATAAACGTATACAAATACTAGCATCACTTGCAGATGTTATCGAATTTTGTAAGATCTCAATAGAATAACATGTAAAATTTAGTTTTTCAACAAGTTTGCGTGGTAATGAGGAAAATATTTTGCCAAGATCCTTTCATAAGAACCAGAGTTATTCTCAGAAGTAGATCTGAAATCATGCTCGTATAGAGATCACGCAATTTACTCGAATATTTGATTTAGTCATTTGACGGAACTCGTTTCCAACAGTGATACACAGAGAATGAATGGTCCTAAGGCCGACTAGTTATATTCACGCTGAA